ATCTCTTCACCATCCATCCTGATGCTGCTAATTGGCCCAGTGGTGAGAATCTTTGTCTTCTTGACATTGAGCCTCAATCCATATTGAAGGCTGCAGTCCTTGACCCTCTTATCACAGTAGGAAGTAGAAAAGACAAAGAACAAAAGAACAGAGAAGTAGAATAGAGAAGCGAGAAGTTTAGGAGATTGAGGAAGACCCTCAACAGAGTAGTTCAAGGACTGCAAGGGAAAGGTCCTAAAGTTAAAGAACCCTTACTTCTTAGCTGCTAATGTGTTCAAACGTGATAACTCCGTTTCTGTTTCTCTGAACATCAGTCCCAGAGTCTGGACAATTCCAATGCATGCCCTAGGAAACAAAGATAAAGATGGGGGTGTCAGAGATGCTCACAGTTGCATGGAGTCTGTGATTCTTGCCATCATTGCATCCAGATAAGCATGAAGAAAATAATGCATGAAGGGAATTCTGTACATTCAATCACCAACATTGGTTAAATGCCTACTCTGTGAGCTTTAGAAATACAGTCAGCCATAGAAATATTTATTAAGTGAACAAATTTATAACTGGATGTTGGAAGAAATCATTCTGATATTTTTATTCATGTAACATCCCCTAAATTTTTATAATTGCACTCTATTTTTTACCTTTGAAAAACAATTTTAATTTTTTTCAAATATGTAATTTATTCTCAAAGTTCAAAATTTCAAATGTGCAATAAAGAATAGTAAAAGGGTTCTCTCTTAGATCTGCTTCTCCAAATAACATTTATTCTTTCGGTGTTTATTTCTTTTCAGTGTTAACAATGTCTTGTGGAAAACTGGAACAAAAGAAATGCTATATTTTAAAGTCCATGTTAAGCAAAACCTATAACACAATTAATCACTAATACAATCTCCCTCCCCCCCCAGTGCCTTTCATTTACCTTTTACACCCTGTTGTTGTTGTTGTTGTTGTTGTTGTTGTTGTTGTTGTTGTTAGGTGCCATACAGTCGTAGTCAACTCATAACGACCCTATGAATTAAAGGCCTAAGCACTGTTTATACACAGACTTCCGGAGGCAAGCCATTTCAGAAGTGGATGCCACTCCTGCTTCCAGGCTTGTTTTAGTCGGGAAGCTCCACCAAACACTGTCTGCCATGGGTGACCATTACCACATTTGGCACATCAGTGTCCCAGTGTTCAGCATCACAGCAACCATGAGTTACCTCTGTACAGCAACGCACAGACCAGTACTTACCACCTAGAAGAATGTTTGACAGGAAAACAATTTTAACCCGGCCTGAGGGCCGCAGATTAAAATCACCCACCTTCGGCTTGGTAGCATAACTTTCTCTGTCCACTAGGCCAATGCAGCTCTCTCTATGTCGTTGTTGTTATTTTACACGCTAGGAAACCAAATATCTCTAAATACCCAGTTGGTACTTACATCAGCTCATCAGCTCTTTGACTTTTGTTTTGAAGGGTATTCTTATCCCTAGACTCCGGCAAGTATTCATGAAGTTTGTTCACTAGGAAATAGAACAGGTCACTGGTCTGTGAAAGCAAGCAGGAAAGGAGATGGTAATTAAGGTATTGGTTGTAAATACTATCCCTATATAATAAAATATGAAGAAATGGAGTCATTTTATTTGACGTGAAAGCATTACAGTATCTGGCATTAATACTGGCATAATCCTGACTGAAAGCATTCTTTAACTTGCAAGCAGGAGCTGGTGAACAGAATACCCAGTCTACTAGGTCCGGCTCAATCATTAATAGTGGAGATTATCCAGAAGCAGGTGTGTAAACTGAGGCAAGTAATTTAGTTGCCTTTGAATTATATACTCAGTGGGGGCAATTATTATTCCTGTCTTTCCAAAGTCATTTCTCCTTTGTAAAGCTATTATGAAAGAAGAGATTTTAAAAGTTATTTTATGGAAAATGGATGAACCCTTAAAATTATTGCTCTGAGATAATTTTTAAACCTTAAACAAAAATATCCCCTGAAATCTTCTTAGAACAATAGTTTAACTCAGCTGTTGCATTGTTGAATTGCAACTCCCTAATAATAGCTGACCCTCCAGCACATTCTCGGAGGCTGTATATTGCACAGATTTCCCATCTTTCTCCCACAGAGCAGTTGGTAGATTTGAACCACGTGACTTTGTGTTGGCAGCACAAAGCCTTAGTATTAAACCACCTAGAGTTGGATGCTTTGTTTTGTTAAAAAATTAGGTCTTTCATGAGAACTACGCTCTTTTAAGAACTGTCTACAGAGGAGTTTACAACAGTAATTTGGAATATTAGTTAGGAACTTTGGGGGACAATAACTTTATGTTAACAAGGGAAAGAGAACTCAGAAAGTATGAGAATTGTTGTACGACCTGAAGAATGTAATCAATGTCACCAAATTATACATGTAGAAATACATTTGCTTATGTTTTGCTTTGTATATTTTCAACACAAAATGAATTAAAATTTAAAGGGAAAAAACCCCATTTACTGGTACAAATACAAATACATAGTCTATGAAAAAGATGCATATCAATGTTGAAACTTCTGTTAATATGTTGTTGTTATATAGAGAAGCAACTCATAACTTACTCTCCAGCAGGTTTTCAGATTCTGTTTATCACATGGGAAGAGGAGCCCTCAGAGCAGCTGGTGGATTTGAACTGCCTACTTAGGGTTGGCAGCACCTCTCATTACTACTAAGTCACTAGAGATCCCTTCTGTTAATACGTTGTTGTTGTTGTTGTTATTGTGTACCATCAAGTCTGAGCCCACTCATCACTGACCCTTCATTGGGTTTTCAGAAGCTGTAAATCACATAGGAGATTACCCATCTTTCTCCCACAGAGCAGCTGGTGGAAATGAACCAAGTGCCTTTGGGTTGGCAGAGCAATTCTTCACCTTTAAGCTGTCAGAGCTTCCTCTGTTTATACAGTGGAATGTGAATTGCTATTCCTGCCAAAATAAACACTGGCAAATGTGGAGGAGCCAATTTCTTATGCTCCGATCCTGTCCCATGAGATAAATTGAGCATGAAAATAAGCACTGGCCCATGAAATCAGGCAAGTTGGTACTAATGAGAAATATAATGTAATTGCTTCTTTTCGTCTTCTTTGTTCATGCATTTCCCAGAACTTTTGCTTACCACAGAAAACTTGGGCTCTCTGCACAATTAGCTGCATGTCCTTATTTAAGTGATAGAGCATGAAATGAAGGATGGTCGTTCATGAGAAGGAAGCAAAGAGGAAAAGCAAGATGTAGTTCAACAATTGTGTACCCACACCCAGCACTGCCAGAAGCCTTGGTCACAGCTCTCAAAACTCACTGGAGTCATTAGGAACCAAGTCAGAGCTGAGCCTCTCGCAGGTTTTCTAACTGTAAATCACATGGGAGGAGACTGTCCATCTTTATCCTAAGGAGCTGCTGGTGTAGTCAAACTGTCAGAGAGGTGCAAGTTTTCAGTTAGCAGCACAACTCCACATAGATTTTACCATAAGAGTTTCTTTGGCCTTAGAAGTTGCTGTTTCTGTTGTGGTTGTTGTGTGCCGTGGAGTCAGAGCCAACCCATAGCTGACACTCCCATGGGTTTCCTGAGACGGAGACTGTCACAGAGGAGGAGACTATCCAGCTTTCTCCCACAGAGTGGCTGGTCGATTCAAACCTCCTTTTGGATTGGCAGCACAACCTCTTACCACTAAGCCACCGAAGCGTCTTTGGTCTTAGTGCTGAAAGATAGATGATAGATAGATAGATAGATAGATAGATAGATAGATAGATAGATAGATTAGATAGAGAGATAGCTAGATATACAGACAGATGATAATAGATGATTGATAGACAGATATCTTGATGTAATTAGAGAAAATTGACATATTGTGATATTGTGGTAGGTTTTTTGTGTTTTTTTATTTTGGGTTTTTTTATATTGTGGTAATTTTACACACTGACTCTCAAGCCAAGCTATTAAAATTCAAGCTCCAGCTATTAAAGTTCAAACTAGTTAGCCAAGTGACACTTGGCAAATTACCAAGTAAGTCTGTTACTCTGTTATGCAGTTTCTTCATCTCCAACATGAAAATAATATCACCATACTGTGTGGCAGTTAGAATTAAATAAAGTAGTATTTTTAAAGCACAAAGACAGTACTTAGCACAGCAAATGTATCTCATAAATTATTGTTGATAGCTGTTGAGTTGAGCATGACTCATTGTGACCCTATGAACAAAAGACCTAAAGCCTTTCTATAACTATCGACATTTATCAAAGTTCATAAGAGTTTCCGGAGGCATGTTGTTTAGGAAGTGGATGCCACTCCTGCTTCCATAAATATCAACTATTATTATCTCTCACATGTTCAATAGTTTAGAATTTTTCACTCTTAATGTATCATTCCCCTATCTGCAACAGTATAAAAAAAATCTCGAAGACATTATGTGAAAGAAGCTACAAGACTGTATTATTTAATGTGAAGGAAATCCTAGGACAGGCAAAGCTAATTTATAGTGGAGTAAGCACAGAAGATTCCAAAAGGCAGCACAGAATGACAAAGCAAAATACTACAATGAAATGTGCAAGGAGCTAGAGTCGGAAAATCAAAAGGGCTGAACTCATTCAGTATTTCTTAAGCTCAAGGAAATGAAGAGCAAATTCAAACCTCGAGTTGCTACAATCAAGAATGCTTTAGGCAGAATGTTAAATGATCCAGGAGGTATCAAAAGAAGATGGAAGGAATATACTGAGTCATTGTATCGAAAGGAATTGGCACAT